AGGTAGCAGTCTAGCAGAGGTGGCGAAGGTTATGGATTCAACGGCGATGGGTAGATTTGGGCGGCCCTGGGTAGCCAGGGTTGGGTTTTGGGGTAGGGTTTTGGATATAGAAATAATTAGGGTGCGTTTGATTGCAAGGATGGAAAATGGGTGGAAAGAAAATGAATTCTAGGGAAAGTAATTGCCTAGAAATTATTTTGTAGGGAATTGTTAATTAAGTGTGTTTGATTGGTATAATTTTCCACTTGGATTCAAATGTGAAGCTAAAGCTAAAGGAGCATTAGATGAATGTGATATTTAGACAATTTGAAGGAGATGAAATGAGAGTAAATATGTGCTATATACACGGATATAGCATGTATGGTGTTGTTTTACACGTTGTTTTACATGTAATGAAATCAAAATTCAAAACAAGTATCAATCGAAGTCTAAATCCTGTCATATTAAGCTAAAAGAATGAACGCATCTTGGATTGAAACGAAAATCCGAAAGAAACATCGTATTGATTCAAAAAGTCAGCCATGATCATATATAATTATCCTTGTATTCACTATTTAAATATTTCGATCTAGTGGAAAAAGCTCGGATGAAGCTTTCAGCGGAATTAACATAAACAGCAAGTTGAACAATAATTTGTAACGTAGATCCGCAAAAGAAAGGGTTACTCTGTTTAGAATTCAAAACAAGTATCAATCGAAATCCAAATCCTATCATATTAAGCTAAAAGAATGAACGCATCCTGGATTCAACGCAAATTCTCAGAACCTGAAAAAATTAATTATAAGTAGCTGAACTTATGAAATCAGTAAATGTACCTGTTGAAACAAGTTTGATTCTAACATTTTCCGCATCAATTAGATAAGAATAAGTTAAACGATTGAGCAAATTCATTTTAGATTGTACCATGACACAAGAATCAAACGACGAATTAACAGCACTTTACATGATTTAGATGCAGGAGTTAGAGAATAATAAAGCAGAGAAGACAGTTTACCTTCAATTTTTTTTGCGAGGGAGAATTTGAAGGAGATGGAATGATAGTAAATATGTGTTATATATAGACACGGATATAGCATGTATGGTGTTGTTTTACGCATGTTGTTTTTTCCAAATCGTATTCCCTCTATGACATCAA